TACGTACATACATACATACATACATACATACATACATACATACATACATACATACATACATACATACATACATACATACATACGTACGTACGTACATACATACATACATACATACATACTTACATACATACATACAGATAGACAGACAGACATACATATGTACATCAAAACTTGTTAGCACAACAATGATATGTCGAGAAAATAAAATAAATGATGCGGGGTTTTGTTGTTGTTGTTGTTGCTGTTGATGATGATGATGAATGAGTGAGTGCATGAATGAATGAATGCATAAATGAATGAATGAATGAATGAGTGAATTAATTAATGATTGAATTATGAATAAATTAATAAATAAATAAATAAATTAATTAATTAAATAAATAATTAATAAGTGAATGAATGAATGAATGGATGGATGGATGAATGAATGTATGAATAAATGATTGATTGAATGAATAAAAAAGTGAATTTATTAACAATTGAATGAATAAAGATTGAATAAATCTATGAATCAATCAAATCAAATCTATGAATCAATCAAATCAATCAATTAGTTTATTATAAAGCGCTATTTCCGCGATGTTCAACAGCGCTCCTCAACGAATTTTGCAAACAGATGGGTCTTGAGATCCGCTCTGAACTTCGCAAGTGATGGAGAAGTAGTCAGAGTAGGAGGTAGAGAGTTCCAGAGAGAAGGACCATAAAAAGCAAAGGCATATTTAGAAAATAAGTGTTTAACACGAGTTAAGAAGAAGTGAGAACAAGAAGACGATTGTAAACCGGGGCGTTTAGCTTCAATTAATATATCTGATAAGTACTTAGGAAATAATTTAGATAGAGACTTATACATAAATTGCAAATTTTAAAAATTATTCTATATTTTATAGGCAGCCAGTGCAAGAGAACAAGATATGGAGATATATGAGAAAAGAAAGGGGCACGAGCAACCAGACGAGCAGCAGAGTTAAAAGCTTTACTTGAAGGAGAGAGTGTAGAATCAGGAAGACCATAGTAGAGCGAGTTACAACAACCAATCCTAGATAAGACTAACTAAGTAACAAGAAGGAGAGGAGAAGGATCGTCAAGAAAAGGCAAAAGTTTTTTTTATTCTACGTAGATGAAAGTAAGAACTTCTAGCAACACTATTAATCTGAGAAGAAAGAGACATGCTGGAATCAAAGATAAAGCCTAGACTACCAAACTTGTGAGAAGCATCAAGAGTTTTAGAATCAGGTAAGATAATATGAGGAATAGTAATAGAGTGTTTAGACTTATTAAATTTAAAACAAATCAATAAAGAAATGAATGAATGAATGAATGAATGAATTAATTAATTAATTAATAATTA